ATTCCTGCTTTGTACTTCGCAGCTTCAAGACAGATTGCAACATGAGTCTTTGTGGCCAGAAAAAAATTTTGCACTGGGCTCCCAGCTTCCACACAGTGTATTATTTATTCTGGAGAGCTCCACTTCTTTCAGAAAGTTCAAACAGTTATATTATGAGAACCACACATTTTCTTTCTAGGGTTGCCTTGGACATTTTTACTTAATATTAAAAGAATTTCCTTCTCCCCCCCCTACTCAAAATGCCTAATAAGAGGGAGAAGAGAAAGAAAACGGAGGTAAAGCAGATCAATTCCACTGACTTGGACAGATCTATGAATGAGTCCGGTGGCAGAGAATCTGGCCCGCTCAGTGATATTTCCTTTATTTACATGATTTCCAGTAACAAGATTCTGTTCAGTGTAACAGGGTGGCCAACGTGCGAGGCCAAGGTCATTTTATGGTGTCCATTCTTACTTAAATTTTAAAACAGGAGAGCAGTGCATCTCTCTTCTGTGTAATCACTCTTCATAAGCAGAGGCTACCTGCATTATCAGCCATTTTCCAGGGTTTGTCTAAAATTAGTCCGTGTGTGACATGTGGCTGGTGGAGGTTTGTGTGAACTTTGTGGAGATAGTCCTACTTTAAGCAGCGGGTTGGACGAGATAACCTCCCTGAGGTCCCTTCAAACCTTCATTTTCTATGATTCTTTGAACTTTGACAGCATTTCTTTATTCATTGGCAAATTCTCCTTAGTAATTATACAGGACAACTAGGGCTGTTTTCCAGAATCTGTGTAATTATTACAAAAGTTTTATTCTTGAATGTTTCCACAGAAGGCCATTCAAATTTTAACCATGCAGACAATACAGATGGGATGCCAACGATAAGCTTTTGCATGGCAAAAAGCATTTGGTTTCTAGTCCAGAATAATATCTGAAAAGGCATTTTTGCAAAAGGATATGACAATAAAAGACTCTGATCAAGAGAACATTGAACTTCTCCAACCCTTGTCAACACAATGAGAATTCACCTCCAACTTTCTCACAGGCTGGCCAGACTCTTTTGGGTATGTCTACACATGCATTTATGCCGGCTTAAATTTACTGCGGAGTAAATTACTGCACAGTAAGTGGGAATAGGCTGGCATCTACATGTGCAGACATTAAAGCACATTAACAATGTGTGTGGACTGACTTGGGACTAAAGTTAGTCCCAAGACAGACCACACACGCAGTGTTACTGTGCAGTAAGGCGTCCACATGTGCGCTACTGTGCAGTCACTAATCAGGCATAAATTTGATACCTACATGCTGCAGGTATCAATCTGATACCTACATGATGCAGGTATCAAATGTATGCTCAAGCTGGCTTAAGTCACCACATTTACTGTGCAGTATGGCCATGCACATGTAGATACTGTGCAATAATTTTGGTTACTGAACGGTAAATGCACATATGTAGATGTTCCCCCTGTGAACTTATTCAGGGAGAAATGTGCAATTTCTTCCTTGTTTTACTTTTGCCAGTTATCAGGATAATAGAAGCAAAATCAATATATCTTTTGTCCTATGGTTTCCCAGAATTCTACCTTTCCAGGAACTGATATTGGACGGTCAGCCAATATACAAACTGATGAACTTGAAGGGAATATTCTTATTCTTCTCCTGCTGGCAGGTTTTTAAGCAATAAATCCTAATAAGCTATACACTTTGCAGGTTTGACCCACTAAAGTCAACAGGAACCTCTCTCTAGGATCAGCCTCTAATATCTGAGGATGTAAGTTGATATATATGCCTTGTGCTGGCCCTTTGCAAAGAGGTAAATTTCCTTGTTAATGCATTAGGTCTTGATTCAGCAAAGCAATTAAGAACATGCTTAACCTTAAGGGCATGTGTAATCCCAGCCTTATTCAGCAAAGCAGATAAATGCATGCCCTGCGTCACAATTCAGTTAATTTTAAGCCTATGTTTAAGTGCTTTGGTGAAGTGGGACCACGGTGTTAAGCAACAGGAACGGAGGAAGACTTTTAGTATTTTGCAGGACTGGGTATGAAATCAGAATTGTTGATTAATTTCTAAGCAATTAATTTCCAAGCTATACATTTATCACAAACTTTCCACCCCACTCTAGCATGTGGTTACTGTGTCCATGTCATGATACAAGAGAAAGGTACTGACCAGTGAAAATAGGGCAGATCTTCTCCCAGCATGTAATTCCCCCTTCAGAGGTATACTGTCCTAGCGCCACTTCCAGGAAAAATACAGGAAGACCTCCCCCAAACAGGAAAATAAAATAAGGTATAAGAAATGCACCTGTGGAGAAAACACAATGGTATATGATAAAGATTAAGAGAATGGTAATATTCAAATGGAAAAACACCACAACAGTAAATATACATAACAAGGAAACAAATTCAACACCTTTGTATCAGCATATAATATTTCTACTTTTCTAGTATTATTGCTCACGATCAAAAAATTGACTGGTTAGAAAGTGAAAGTGAAAGGATGCTTTCATGGCTTTTCTAAAGTGCAATGAGAATCACATGCACTTTTGTTTCATTTAACCCACAGTAGTATTTTTATTTTAACACACACCAGAAATAGTCAGCCAAAGTCTGTATTTTAGCGACACCAGTATACATCGGTTGCTCTGCTAATCTGATTCATTCTGGATTTATACTGGCATGGCTCAGGGCACGAGTCTGTATCAGTTCTGTAATTTATGTATTTTCCAAGTTAAAAATGAGGTCCAAGTGGAGTACCAGTAAAATAAGCTCAACATTCAATTTAAGGATGTTATTTTCTGCAACAAACCTTGAATATAAACTATAAACTAATCAAGCAGCTTCTCCTACAGTTGGGGAAGTACAAAGGAAATTTTTATGGTTATTTTATTTATTATTTTTAAATACAGGGGAAGCACTTACATTTCACTGTGACATTGGGGATAGTGATAGATGGACTGACGGACAGACAGACAGATAAAATCCGAAGGAGCTAGAGAGATACTTACCTCCGCCATTTTTATAGCAGAGATACGGAAACCGCCAGACGTTGCCTAAACCAATGAATCCACCAGCCACAGAGAGCAGGAAGTCAATCTTACTCGCCCACTTCTCCCGCTGGGGCGGCTTTCCCTCTGCTTCATCCTCAGGACGTGTCCCTGGGCTCTTGCCAGGGGAAGGTTTGAGGATGTCCTTGTGGAAATCTTTCAAGCACTGAAGCTTCTCCTTTGTGGCCATACCTCTGATCTCTACAAAGAGAAAAAAAAATGCCAGGGGTTTAGAAAGCAGCCTTTACCAGTAACACTCTAGCAGTGCAAGACCTGCTTAACCAAATTAGATTCCTTAGGTCACCTTTCATCAAGCTTCTTGGACTAGGAGAGATATGGATCGACCCAAATTCTTGACCGAGCTATATCCAAACTCTGGACAGTCCTGCACAGCTCCAACAGGGAACTAAAACATGTGAAAAAGCCTTTCCCCTTTTCTCTTGCACATGTATCTGTGCAAATCCAAATACAATGCTAACTCTTCGCAGACCTGATCCAACACCCAGTGAAATAAATGCAAAGATTCCCACTAATATCACTGAGCCCTGAGTTGGGCCCCCGAAAAATGAGGGACTGCATACGTGGGCATTTGCACCTCTCTGCTCCTGGTTGGTGTGTCTGGCCAAATTTAGGGGGCGTCAAAGGCTTGGTGTTCTTATTCACCTGCTAGCCTCAGGCTCTTATGTGTAGAGAATACACGTTGCATCAGCAAGTGATATCACTGAGCCTCAGTGCTCATTAAAGCAGGGGTGGGCAATTATTTCAGCTGGCGGGCCACTGAAGAAGTTTTGGTAAGCTGTCAAGGGCTGCATACATAAAATCTTTCAGAAGCTATCACTATAACAAATAAAAAATCATATACTAAAAATCAAACATCTATAATGTGTTTTAATTTAATTTCAAAAAATCATTTTTGTCCTGATGTATATATTTTTTTAAGTAGTGTATATAGAGGTGATTACATAATAGCTCAAAATAGTCTTACTCTTGTATATTGTGTGTGTGGGTGGTAAGGGTGTGTGCACAGAGGGTGTGCATGGGGAAGTAAGATGTGTGTGGGGTGGGTGTTGGGGAGTGTGGTGTGCATGGGTGGGGGGGCGGGGGGGTGGGGGCAGGAGGCACAAGCAGCACAGCTCACCCAGGCAGTATGGTTTAGGTGCAGGTGCCATCCACCCCCCACATCTAGCCCCGCGGCTGCCCCCTTGTTCCGCATGGGGCTGAGTCCTACCGGCTCCCACCCGCACCCATCCCATGCCCACCGATGGCACTGCTCCAGCCCTGGCCCCAGATAGCACACACAGCATCCCGGCAGGGCTGCTCCCACCCAGGTACTGCTTGGCTCCCCCTGTCCTCCAGTACCTCCTCCTCCTACTGTCCCTGCTGTGCTGCCCCAGGTAACAGGTAGCGCAGGGAAGCAGCGGTGCCTGTAATGACACATGCCAGGCACTGCGTGCCCAGCCAGGTTGGGGAGGAAGCTGCAGCCCCAGTGCACAGGGCTCCATTGGCTGCCTGCAGGTAGCTGCTCACTGCACCTGTTGGCCAAGTGGGTGGAAGTCAGCCAAGAGATGGACCTGGAGCCCTGCAAGCTGGCACAGGAACTGCCTACCTGTACCTTCCCCCTCAGCTGGCTGGGCAGGCATCCCCAAGGCAGCCACCACCTCCCCATGCTACCTGCTGCCTGGAGCAGCACAACAGTGGGAAGAGGAGGAGGAGCCACTGGAGGCAAGGGGAGCTGAGTGGTATCCGGATGGCTGCAGCAGCAGTGGGAACAGACCTGCCAGAAAGCTGTGCACACTGGCTGGGACCAAGGCTGGGGCCACTGGTAGGTGTGGGACGGATGTGGGTGGGAGCGCGGCTCAGGCTGCCTTGGCACAGAGCAGGTGGGACTTGGTCCCATGCAGAGTACCATGGGGGCAGCCATGGGGCAGATACAATCAAGTGGCAGGTTGTATCCAGTCCATGAACCGTATTTTGCCCAACCCTGTATTAAGGGATTATGCCTGCTACAATGGGCAGGGAGCCTCAGGTTGTTTCTGCTCACTCGGTGATACATCCATGTCCGAATCCCTTTCGCTCTTTTCAAAGAGCAATTTCAACTTGGTCCAAAAGAATTATATATATAGGGCAATGATGTCTTCTGCTGAGATGTCCAATAATCATTGAGGTAACTTCCAATTCTTTCTCTCCCAGTCCCCTTGTCTTTCCCACAGCTTACACTGTACAATACTGTGGCTATAGTTAAAGTACTACACAGTATCTAGGAGACTAACTGATTCAAAGAGGCATGAGCTTTCATAGGCGAAAGCCTACTTCATCAGATGCATTTGATAGTCCCTAAGGTGCCAGCTACCCTGTCCTGCCTTCTGCCTGACTTCACACTAACACAGCTAAGCACCTGTTTCTCTACAGCTTTGAGAAACTAAGATCTCCGCAAAAGCCAGAGTAGGGAATCATTTTTCCAAATCAGACCATAGCATCTGAAGAAACTTTCTCAGTTTATTCTATTTTTGCTACTAAACCGCTTTTACTTGGAATCAAGAAAAGCAAATAAATAAACCTTCATATTTCCATTAAACTCTTATCCAATAGCATAATTCACCTGATGCAAAACCAAGAGTAAATTAAACCATAGCGGGCCAGTTCATTTTAATGCACAAGGCATTAAACATAACAAGGTGTTACATTATTTTATATACAGGAACCAGGAGTTCTTAATGCAACAATTTATGATATGTATTGTTATAGTAAACCCAGAGTCAGACATTGAGGCAAGTTCCTTCTTTATATAACTTAACTTACTTCAAATCAATCTGGACTGTCATTTGACAGAGTGGCATGATGCTGAAAGCATATAAATTTTTCATCAGACCCATACAAACCAGCAAATTTATTCTTGGTCACAACCACTGCCTGCTTGCACATTATGTGTGCACAGTCATAAAAGCTGTGCTTCAGATCATCCCAGCTGATAGCTGCAAATCCAGTACTTGCTGCTTTCTGATCTGTAAACCGATTTAGCTTGTGGCAGTGATCTGAAACCTGGTTTGACATTAGTTCTGCAGGAAGTTTTAATCTGAGCAAGATCCTGAGGCAGATATGCATCAGGGTACTTCTACAGATAAAAACCTTTCCCTATAACCACATCTAAGCCAGCCAAATCAGGGACAAACCATGACAGATGTGTCAGCCCCACTGGCTTAGGCCCGTAAAAGGCAAATGTTCTTTCTTGTTAGACAGCCAGCTACATCAACGACTTCTTACTAATTTAGGATCAAAGAAAGAACATTCAACTTTTCAGTTTGGCATTCAGCGTGATGTTCTCCTGCATTAGGAGAAAGGTAGGCTTATAGCTCAGGCTGCTGAGAAAGCACGGAGATGAGTACCTGCAATTCACAAAAGTGAACAGTAGAGGGAGCGCAGGGAGGGATAAAAAGAATAACAAGATGGTGGATAGGAGTAGTCCATCATGAGTGTTTTCCTACCTTCCTTTGAAGCATGCTATCCTGGCCACTTTTACAGACAGGCTACCAGACTCACAATCTTGGACTCAGATATCAAAGCTGAAACTTAGGTGGGATTTAGGCACCTAAATCCCATTTACTTCTAGCTATATGGTCCTATGCAAAGTTCTTATCTTTTTTTTTTAATTAGCTTGAATAGGTAATCTAATCCCCTGGGCTTCTGATTTACATCAGTGAAAGCACAACTTAATCCCAGTGAGACCGTGCAAGTCTACTCAGTACACTGCTTGTTTTAAATGCTGCCTATCAGATAGGTGACCACCCAACCCTTAGAACAGGTTGAGTTTTATTAGATGTTTAGAGTTATGAATCCAAAAAGATGACAAAGCCAGTAAGGAAATACAGATTGATAGAGTAAGTCCTAAATACGGTCTTTTCAGATTCAAGTTTTGTAACTGAATGGTACTGCATTTTCTAACAGACACTAATTTGTCTTGAGCTATCCATAACTTGTGGATATTTTTGAAAATTTTGGTCTTGAGCTTTAGGTCTTCAGCTTAGACCATGATGAAGCATCTTAAGCTTTCAGCTCTCTAGGAGGGACAACTCTTTAGGCCAATGCTCAGTTTTTAGTCCACCAATGGGAGTTTTGCCAAGGAAAGACCTCAGGGTTTGGATCATTAGGATTATCAGCATTTTGCCAGCTTCACAGTGTTGCGGAACAAAATGCTTGAGATTTGTACAGTGTGCAGTTCTAGATCTTCAATTATGTTCCTTATTTTAGTGCTTTGTGTTTACTCTCAATCTCTTATTTGGCGTAGGAAAAGTCTTTATTATCCATGAAGGTGTGGTAGTTATGGCTAGAAGGAATATAGTAGAGGTCAGCGCCACAGAAATGAACACTAAGTACTTGCTTGGAACTGTCATCCTGGCCCATGTCACGCTGAAGGAATGTGGGACTTTATCCCTTAGCTACCAACAACCACTGTAGGCCAATTGTCCACTTCCAAGTACAGAAAAAGCGTACAAAGGCTGTAAGGGTGGGTGTGGAAGCAATTCTTCTTGGAAGGAAAAAGCCAAGAGAACCAAGTTTGTTTAGTGAAAGGCATTGTCTTTATCATTAATAGGTCAAAGTTTCATTTCCTTCAGTTATGTCCCACTGGGTGAGGTTAAAAGGACTCTGGAGGGATAACAATCTCATGGTCTGATGGAGACACTAAAACAATACTTTGTCGCCGCCCAGGTCAGAACAAGAGAATAATAGGTTATTTTTATAGTATCACTTAGAGGGAGTCAGATCTCAGATACTGCCCCTGCTAATTCCCCCAAAGGGAAAAACACTGTAAGAAAATACTCCTAAAATCATGGAGTCCAAAATGAGTGATCCAGTTCAGAGGCACATATCTGCCTTCTAGGAGACACAAATCTGCTTTCCAGGAGACACATGTCTGCCTTCAAGGGCAGCCCCCTCCAGGAAGCCTGGGCTAGTTCCAGGTAAGTTTGGCTTGCTCTGCTGAAATGAAGATGGATAAATAATGAGTAGCAGCCAAACCTTCTATTTTCAGACTGGGTGTTCACCACATACAGCAAAATCGCATGGGGGAGGCAGGGAAGAATCTCATTTTGGCTGGGTCAAATTCTGTGCTGGTACACATAGAGCATGTCTACATGTCGCCATATGGCAACATTGCTATGGCGCTGTGCTTTAGTACTTCTTCTTGGAAGTGCAGCATGGATGGT